TTGAATGAGTCTGTTTATGTTGATACCATTTTGTGTTATAAGCAGGTTGATGGCAGCAGCCAGCTGCAGCTTTCAGACTTCAGGCAGCATTGTCTTTCATATTCCTGCAATATGGTCTCCCTTGGTCCTAAAAGGGCAGACAAGGTTCCTACTTCCCCTCTCAGGAAGACAGAGTCTGGAAGTCTTCCCTCTCTCCAGAAGACTTTGTCACTGGATGGACATATATGAAGATACCACTGGTACAGGTACCGCAACTCTTAATTAGCCAGTGCTTTATCAAAGGAGGCCATTGAGTTCATGCCTGATTTCCCATCATGTTGGATAGAGAACTGATAATATGTTAACAACAGTGAACAACGTATTAAGAGGTAATTTGATAATTGAGATATGTGGAATGAAACCCTGTCAGTTTTTTTATTCCTTTACACAAAATGGCTCTTCTACTGGTTCAGTTGTTTGCCGGATCATCGGTTATCTCAGTATCCGTATTAACATCATTTGTGTCTGCACATATAGGATTTGTGGGAGATGGTGATCTGATAGCTTCAATGAGCTCAAATCCCTTTTCCACAGGGACAAAAAACTTCTCCAAACTGTCCTGATTTATTGCTTAAGCTCTAGGGAAGAAAATTACTGAGTACCTGACATTCCTAGCCTTCTGGCAGAGGCTGCAGCCAGAGAAAGGTGAAGTAGGAAGCACTTTTTGACTAGCTGTTTAGAATATGATCCCTCTATTCAAAAACAAATTACAGCCTGTAAATTCACTTCATTTGTATTTTTATTTATAAAAAGGCACCCTAAAACATATGATAGATACTAGTCATGGACAGGTTGGTTTAACAGCTTGGTAATATAAGATTTTAAACTGCCACAGTGTCAACTCTTCCTGCAAGTATACAGGTATTTTTACCAAGCAGGCTTTAAAACACAATTTCTCACTGAGGGGAAAAAAAACAGCAACAAAAAATTATTGTTAAACAATTTTTGAGCATTGGCACTACAGTTAGTTGTTAAACTATTAAACTACAGATTGCAGCCATAACGGCAACAATCTCTAAGTGATAACCTTGTGCTGCCATTAAAGACATACCCCATCTGTTGTAGCATGAAACACTGTGAGACAGTTTGTAATGATACATATATCTTATTACCTGCTGATTATAACCTATCGGTAAGAACAACAGTTTAATTATATGGTACATCTCCTGCTGACAAATGACTGGCTTCCAAATATTTCTGCTGCTCTTCACCTATTTCTTAGCAAAAAAGAATTAGCCTCCTGATTTTACATTATTACATTGCGTTATGACTGGAAGACAGAAAGCTTTTATTAGTTGCTGAGCTGCCTGGACACTCTGTGTTGTCATCATGATACAAAAATCTAGCCTTATCTCCTCATGAATCCTGATGGATTGTGGAGAACAGACCCTAGAGTGCTGATCAGCTAAAGGACACAGAGGAAAAGCTAGCCTAAACCATACAAATACCTCTTCTGGAGACTAGTAAAAAATTATGTCCAAGGTGGCACTCAGACCTGGCAATGGGATTGCTGCTTACACTGATACAGTACAGACAGCTTGGATGAAATGATGTCTTTCTACTATATTTCTTCCTTCAGATTTACTCTGAGCATGGGCTCATAGCATCAGCTTGGGAACAGAACTGGCCCAGCAAGAGCAGAGGAGCCTTCAGTACCCAGGAACCTTGGAGACGGGCGCCAGAGACTAAGGTTCATTGTTCAGCACCAAAAGTGTGAGAAGATAAGTTGTTCTTGGACTAATGATATGGAATTGTAAGTCCTTTTGTCTATGAAAGAGTATTAATCTGTGTGTTCAGGTACTGGGGATCTGAAACAGTCCTATCGCTTTGAATACCTGCTCAAAAAGGGAGGATATAGGTCCCACCGTGAGGACACATTAATAGTCCTTTCTACTAAAGTTTGGTCTCTGCAGAAACAGATTTATCAGTTTGTGAGTGCAGCATTTATTCCTGGAGTGAACTCCTGTCCTATCAGTCTTTGGAATAGGAATCATAAATTTGGGTTGAGTGAGAAGAAAGGATGTCGCTGAATTTTGGAACTGCCTGTATAAAACTGAGATACATACATATTTCTTCATACACATTTCTCTGGGAAAACCTGCAATTGCATTCAATCCACTAAGACTTGTCTATTAAGAGTTGAGAGATATGTCTACATTTGTAACAATATCTGGGATTTCCATTTTCACCCAGTGTATATTACCATGTCATGATGGCCAGTGTTTTCTGCATCATGACTGTGATGCATCTATTGCACTGACATCAGCTATTATTGAACAACGTGTTAAAATGAAGTATCTTTGTAGATGCCATATCATATGTCTATAAGAGAAAAATAACTAGGTTTGTTTTATCAAGATTAGAACACTCAGAATTTAACTGCTCCTAAGTGTAATTCCAGTCTGTCCTAAAAGACTTGATAGATGGAACATTGCTGTTATTAAGAAAACAACCCGAAGAACTGATATCATTTACTAAAATAAACTATTTTGAGATCCTGCAACAAACTCAGACAAGCAACAGTTTAAGGCTACAAGGTCATATTAAGAATGAAAGCAATTGTGCTGCACTCTCCTTGCATTTGCCCTGTGTAAAGTCACTGCAAATTATGCTAGCTGAAAAGAAAGAAAAGAAATAATACTCTTGAAAATCAGGAATATGTTAGCATGCATGCACAGAGAAAGGACATGTTTGAGTTATTATTCCTGTTTTGCCTAATGTGTTATACATCGAGTCTAAAGGGGAATTTATATGTTGTATGGTTATTTTTAACATTTTGAAGTTTTCACTTTTAAAACTCATCAGAGGGGGCCTTAGGTCCGAGCCCAATAGTTGATTTCTTATTTTCCCAGGAAGTAACATAGCATTTTGAAAGTCCAGATATGCTCAAGCATAACAAATGAAACCACTGGCCACTATCAGAAGCCATCACAGGAAGCATATTAGCTGGAATAGATATGAAAGTCAAAATTAGAGTCTCTAACGTTTAGCATGTGATAAGAAAATCACTGAATTGAGAAGTACAATTGAGAAGTGGCAATGCACATAATAATGTATTTAAAAAAATCTTTCAAGTCACCATTCTTCATTATGAGTTTATAAGTGTACAGAAAGATGTCATGAAAAACATGAATGCAACGGTATTTAGTCTCCCTGATTTCAGCCCCTACTGATGGCAGAGTGAGAAAACAGAGATCTTGTAATGTGAAACCATAAGAGAAACAGAAATCTGTACTTATGCATAGACTAACTACTTTGTTCAAACAGCTGAGACTGCAAGATGAGGGTGGGCTGCTGTGCTTTACTGGCTCCGTACAACTCATACACTGTACTAGCCTCTCCCTGCAGAAAAGTGATTTACTTTATAACACCAGATGTATTATTTTGACAGAAAATACATCACATACAAGGGCTGTTCCTAGATTCTTCTCCTTCCTGCCATGCCAGCTGCATCAAGCTGAAATCCCTGAGCGCAGAGGAGGGAAACATTTGGCCAAGAGATCTGCAGGTGATATTACAAAGTTTGTGTCAAACTGTCACCGGCCACAGCTTGGAATATGTTGATTTTGTTGCAAAGCCGGCTGACTGCTAGTTAAAGTGAGAAGGGACTCCTCACTCTTCAGAACGGATGTAGCATTATGTTATTCATACTACCTAATTACTCCACATCAGCATGTATCTGTGGCCTCTGTGAGCCCTCTCTACATTCAGTGACGGTCTTGGATGCCCCAGAATGGATCTGACTCTTTGTATAGTGTATTTCCTGGAAAATTAAAAACATTCCTAAAAGCAACAGGCTAGAACATTATGCTCTGAAGAACTGGCAAGGCTGAACTTTATTGTTAAAGTTTGCAGAGCTAAAATGACTGTGACAGGCTATAAAATCATACTACATGTTCTTAAAGTTTAGAACAGCCTAGTGGGCTCGCAAAGAATGAAACTGATTCCTCTGTTGCTATATAAAGAATATTTGTTTATAATAAACTGATTTATAATTAAGTATCTCCTTCCAAGATAAAATAACGTACGTGATGCCTTTCCATTTCTCTAGCACACGACAGATAAATGGGCAGCTGTTAATTGAAATAAACATATTCCTAACGGGCAAAGCAGTTGCCGTGCTATTGACTATTTGGAAAGTATAGCAAAATGTACTCTAGTAATTATAATCAGGAGTCTCAAAGTCATGTTTACACTTCTTCTACAATATCAGACAGTTTTTTAATAAGAAGCACAAATGTACCAGAAATGCACAAATGCACAGACGGAATCACACAGATAGGGTTTGCACACAGCAAGGGGAATTTCTTATTCCTAGAAGATTTTACTGAGGTAACTTTGCAGGTCTTTACAATACAATCCTTCATAAATTCCTCTCCCACACATCCTTTGCCTCCTACCTATTAGGTGAAAAGTGGACTTTCTTAACAGCAGACACATAAATGCAATTGCTTTGTTGGTTTACTGATCAGTTAATGTCTCCCTATCAGCTACTGCATCTGTGTACCCCCGTTTCCAGCAGGACTTCATTTGACTGCGATTTTCAGTTCCCTTTCTGCATTAAACTGTTCTTTCAAGTGTATACATTAAGATGGCAAATAACTTTTCTCCCAGCCTTTTGTCTCTATCCTTGCTTAACAGTTTAAGCTAACTGGGCTCACGGCACTATATTTGTTTTCCCCTCATTTTTCTCTTGTGCTTTTTTTTAGAAAACAGTGACAAATTTTCGCTGGCTAACATCAATTTCCCGTATTGGCTGCTGTCTCTCACATAGTGTAAACAGACCAACAGGTGCCAGGTGAAAGGTGATCTATTAAAACTATTACACTGTTACCCTTTATATTTAAAACAAGTCCTACCAGGCAATTTTAAAAGACATTAAATGATTGGAAGCTAAGCAGTATCATCTTTTCAAAAAAAAAAGAAAGAAAGAACAGTAAGAGGATGTTTAAAATACTCACAAGTCTCGGGAAAGCTGTGCAGCAAGCTAGTACAGAAGTTAGGATAAAGTTTGCACCAGTGACAGCAGCAAATGCTCCTCCCCCTCCTCCATTCTGTTTTACTTTCAGTTGTTATATAATAATTAAGGGCTATATTTGCACCTCATACACTGTGGAAATCAGTCTCACCACGACAAGCAGGGGGAAGGGATTTCCCCCTTCTACTTCTGTGTGATTTTCAAACTTAGGGAAAAAAAAAAGTGGGGAAAGGCATATGTCTCTGACCGAGAAGGCAGGCTAATGACTGGAAAACACTAAAGGCAGCTACTGAGCAGGCACATTCCTGCATGCTGCTTCTAACCATTCCATAAAGGGAAGGAAATGTACAGTTTGTGCCCTCCTCTCTACACAGTCCCCGCCCCCTCTGTCGCTAACGTGTATCTTTCCAGCCAGCGCTCCTAAAAGTTGTTCACTTTGAAAGCAAATAGTGTTATTTTGTGCTGTCATTCCTCTGCCTCTCTGCAGCCCTAGTAGTATTTGACTGAGGCTGCCCCCCAAGGCAGGGAAGTGGCCTTTTGAGGCAACATGAAAAAGGAAGAGCAGGGGGCATGGAAAAGGGTTGGCAGGTCAGAGAAGAGCTTCTCTGAAGAGGATGGCATCTAGCTTGCTGAGGGATGATAGAGCAGAGAGGTGGGTGGCATGGGCACAGGTGACATCAGAAAAGTATCCTTACAAAGGAGCAGAAAAAATATCCTGCAAATTGCACTGAACGCAAACATCATGGATTTTAGCCATAAGATAAGTGTGGGTTTAGTGACTATGATATGCACATGGCATGACAGCTCTAATCTTGAAGTCGTACATTGACACCTCACAACAAAAAACCTTCCTACCTTGAGCTAAACTTAAATTAGTGGCGCGTGTGTGCGTGTGTCATTCTCTGTCTTCTGTGGCTAGATCATAGGATTTTAGCAATGGACCTACCTCCTAACTTAAGAACAGATGAACTTCTCTTGGAGTTGTGCAATTCCTTTCTGTTTCTCACTAAGATAACATTTCTGAAAACACTATAAAACCTGAGGAACAATTCTAGTTGGTCCCCTGAGCTGAGATATTCTAGTACAGACAAATTCAGAAAATATACTTAGGGATCTAAATAGGACTTCTTTCTCTTGAACAGCCGTTACATAGAATAGAGAAATAGGGATTAGAACTGTGTTTGCAGGGTCTAATTCTAGAAGGCTGCACGATGAATTCACCTACTTGCGGCAACTTGCTGCTCAGAGGAGAGGTCACCTAATATGCCATTTTTCAGCGTCCACACGCAAAGCTGTATTCTGAGGTTAGACACTGGGGTCCAGCGTCCCTTCTACAGAGCAGGTTCTCACGTGAAATGCAGGCACCTTGATTAGCTCTTGTACAGAATCTGGTTCTGAGTCACAACCACTGCAAAGAACCTTACAGCCATTTAATACACGACATACAAACGCAGAACTCACAATTTCATGCTCTCTGTTGTTCCCCCACACTACTCCATACGTATGTCTTCAGAGGAGAAGCTCCACTCACGTCTGTTCTGTCTCAGTAGAGGGTGTTAATATTGCTTTATAAGCAGTTATGCAGACATGGAAAGCTAAATCTGCATGAGCTGGCAGCTCATAGAAACACAGTCAAGACTTGAAAGAGAAACCAAAACTACAAACTTGACGCCTGCTGCCTGAGAGCTGGAATTCTTGCAGTAACCAAGTACAGAACTGCAAGTGAAAAGGGGGTTCCAGCACTACAGAAAAAGTAATCAACCTAGATGAATATTTAAACTGAAGGAATGTATTTATTTATTAACTGTCTTATAATTAAAGCTGCTTCTTCCAAAACAAGAGTAGTCATAAACACTTCTTTCAGTTTATTCTGGCTTTGTCCAAGAATGACAGTAAACAATGACAAGTATATGTGTGTGTGTATGTATATGTGGACTTTAGATCTTAAAGTCTACCGTATTTTTGTCAGTGTTTAAAACTGAAAGAAAATAGATGATTTTCCATTTTTCTTTGCTTTTTGGTACTTTATCTTTGCTACACTATAATTTGTCAAAATGTTCTCAACTAGAAAAAAGTTATAAACAGCAAAAAAAGCAAAAAAGTATTAAGTATGTGTAAATTCTATTATGTTCTATGAGAAAAGGGAAAAAACAACACATTTTAATATTTTTTAAAATGACTTTCCAAAGAATTTTCTTTGAAGACTGCAAAATGGAAAACACTATATATGTATTTTTTTTCTTTTTTGACTAGCTCTCTAGCTTTGCTTTTTTTAAAGCGTATGTTTTGCTAGCATTTCGGAAGTTAAAATATATTATTTTTCTAGCTTAATTTAAAAACTGTTCCTAAACTGCTCATAATAGAGTAGTTGTATATAAAAATGATGCAGGTGTCAGTATGTGTTATTTTACAATAGGGTGGCAATACCACCTGCAGTCCCTCAACATTTAATTTTTGTTCATTTTCTTAATTACACAAAAATGTGCTTCCTAATTACACGTGGGACATTTTATACTCATCTAAACACTACTAGCCATAGCAAGGTGTTTATTAATAGCATAAATTATTCTCATACTCTCCTATGAGCAAAATATCCCTTTTTAATTTATGCAAGTCTTATTTATAGTGGACACAGATTATTTGTCAAGATATTGGCAATTACTCTCACTAATGAGCTCATAAATTGTAATTTAGTATTGTAAGTGCAGTGAAAAAGAACATGAATAACTTACAAAATGCAAACAGTAAAGTGAAAACAGATATATGAAGGTAATTTTGAAAATAAGAAAAGGATAACTGAAAGTTTAAACACAAGCATCCTGATTGGAAGCAACATCACCCAAATTGTGTGGCTGCGCTACGGCGAACAACAGGTTTGATTTTGTTGTACTCTGAAAAATTTGCCTGTAGTCATATGAAATGACTTCCTCTAAAATTGGTGTTAGTTCTGTCCCTAAGCACCAGGAGAGCAGACTGAGGCCCCAAGTATTACTACAGAAGCAAAAGTGAGGAAAAGGGAGGGAAGAAGGCTCTTCTAGAGCAATGGGGAGTGCATGATTATACAGAAATGCTCAATGTTCTTAAGGCAATATTGAAAAAAGCACTGGCAGTTCTTGCAAAACCAGATCAGCTCAGTGAGGTTCCCAAATGACTCAGACCCAGCTTTCTTTGATAAATTTTCAAATGACTAAAGATAAATCTAGGCCATTCTTTTCTCATGTACTAACTGAGTATCAGCTCTTTTCAGAAAACAGTCTTGAAATGGAGGCCTTCTCTGATAAGACACTCTTAGCTGTTCTCTACAAGGAAAAGCATGATGATATGGATTTGTTTGAAGAAAATGGCAGATTTTTTAGAGTACCTGAAATCAAATGTGCTGGCATAAGCATAGGATAGTATTTGCAATTTGAATATTGTCTCTTCCTGCGAAGTATTTGTTTGCTTGTTTGTTTACTTATTGTAGTATTCCTGCTTTATTTGAGAAGTTTTCTGCAGAGTGAACTACTACACCCTCAGTTGTCAATGAGTTACTACACAGAGAAATGGAAGAACTGCTGTTTTCTTCCTCCAGATGAAAGTGGATATAAACAGCTGATAAACAGGTACAACTTCTGCTCACCCTACTCCCAGTGTGGCAGCCAGGGGAGCTAACTCAGGGGGAAACAGCCTTCTTCCTCTGAAGGATCCCCCGGCATGCTTTATTACTGAATGCCAACAGCTGGGGTTGTTGGGCCCAGGTGGAAACGGACAAAGCTTGAGAGCTTTGATCCTGCTGATAGTGGCCAGTAGCAGAGTGCCTGACTCTTGAAGCAAGAGAGGGACAGAAGGGAACTTGTAGATGAGGGACTTAGGTAAATCTGTCTTTGATATATGCTAGGATAGTGCATTTCTGTAAATTGCAATCTGCAACAAATCATACACGTAATTGAATTTGCAAACTGTCCTACACTAGTTATGCATAAACCAATATGCAAGTCTGAAATAACTATACGGCAGACTTATTGCTGTGTTAGAACATGCAATATACTAAACACGTTAGTAGCTGGGAATGTGTGTCTTCTGAAAATCTAGTCAGTTCCTGCTTCATGGTTGGTATAGTATTTTAGATCATCTATCTCTTTTTTCATATTAAATTATAATGTATCCTAAATTACATACTCTTCAGATTGTTTATTAAAAACCTCAGGCATCTTACAAATGCTATTTAATTTCTAGACACATCTGGAGAGACATTAATATTCTGCTTTTCAGAAGCATGCACAATATTTCTGGCATGTTATAATTTATCAACTATTGCCATTAAACATGAGCTATTCCTATTTAAAGAGATAGTGTTTCCAAGCACAATCTTATTGATTGCTAAGCTAGCAAAATCAAAACAAAGGGAAAGGCATTTAATGCTTGAAAAAATAAGTAGGATTGTGCTTCTGAATTTGTGAAAAAAGCTTTCATAGAGAAATGCACAATGAAGCTTCAGCCCTTTAGCTGGATTTGTTTGAGGAAGCTTTGATCAAATGGGTTTTGTTTAGTGCCCTGTGAATAAGCACTATTCTGTGTAGGCAGAATATTTGCAGTATTTCAGCCTAAAATCTTTCCAAGATTAAGAGTTGCTCCTTCTTAAATTGCGTGATAGATCATACAGCAAATCCTACACAAAATAAAATAAATATGTGAATAAAAAGCTAGCTGATATACCCAAAGGTATGTCTTCACCACAACAGTTCTCTCAATTTATATTTATGTTATTTCCCTTTGAGCTAATCAATCAATCTAAAGTGGAGCTGCCACGCCACAAAATACTCATGGACCACACTGTCACTGCGGTCACTGATATACAGAACTACAGGCAAGTTCACAAAACTACTAAGGGATTTAATTCTTATTTAAGCTCCCGGCTAGCTCCTATAGGAATAATTTTCTACTCTAATGCTTTTTTGAGGTTAGGTGCTGGACCTCCTGACCTTTAAATGACTGCTGCTCTGTGAACTGGGTGGCTGGCTTCCCGTGCAGTGTCTTGGGAGAGTCAGCTCTTGGGGAGCTAACTCTTGGGAGTTAGCTGTTAGGCTTAACATGCTAAACAGGGCTCTGTCTAAATGAGCCAGTTAAAAGGGTGGGAGAAAGCACTTTTTTGGAGTTTAAACACCTGACTGTACTGGACATGCCTCAACCAGGATCCAGAGCTCTGAATCCTCCCTTCTTCAATTTAAAACATGGCAACCAAGACAGATGTCAGTCAATTTTATTTTTTTTAATTAGCCAAGCAATTTTTAAGTGTTTCTGAACAGAAATTCCAGACTAATGAATTTAAAAATCAAAATGTTACATTATAATAATGAAACTGAAGTGCTTTGATGGAGGGGGATACTTTTCCTCAGAGCAAACAGTTTGGCAAAACAGTTTCCCTGTATCTATCAATTTTAGTCTGTATAGACACCTCTGGGGTTAACGGCCTGCTCTGCAGCTCACTTTGCCATTTGTTGTTGACGCTTTCAGGAATGGAGAAGTGCATCCTAACCCATACGACAAACTAAACAAATAAGAAGTCCTATTAGAATGAAATAATCAACATACAAAAGAGAGGGTTGAAAGAGGAAATAGTATAACTAAGTAATGATGTCCACTTCATCAAAATTATTTTCCTCTTGTCCCTTTAATACTATGATGCTACAACTATGACATATTTAGTCATATTTCTCTTTTAATAATACTATTTTGTACTCTGATTATACTATAATCATGTCTCTTTAATGCTCATTCCTCTTGTGAGAAAGGCAGAAGTCCTTCAGTGGAAGGTAATTTCTATATAAATGAAGAAAACAAGATATTTAGCTACCATATAGATAGAATGTGTTCTAAATACTGGAAATTCAAGAGACCCTGTACAATGTATTATATTTACCCAAAAGCAAGATAAAGGCTTTTCCAAATAGTTTAATTAAAAATCAGGGATCTTCTCAAATTCAGGATTGTCTTAAATTTTATCATATCCCTTTTGAGTTAATGTGTTGTATGAAGAGCCTGTCATATACTATGACACACTCATGTGATATTAAACTCTCACATCACCCCACAACATAATGCCATCTGCTTTGCATGAAAAGTATCAATGTGCCTTCTGTAGGGGATCTTAATGTGTTGTGTACTATGTACAGAAAGGATGAATGCACTAGGAGTGTTCAGAATTTTGATCAGTTGATGAAAAGACAGTGTTTTGAAATTTGTATCAGTAGTTGGCCATTTGTCATTTCAGGCCTGGGGTTTTATGATAGCTTATTATCCCCAGACCAGCAATTTTTCCCATCTGTTACTTCTTATATTTCCCCAGAGCCCCTATTACTTGTAAGTAGCAGCTCCCTTTGAATGGAATGCTACCGTTTTCACTGCGACTCCATGAAATGTAGAAAAGTTCCATATGCACAAGAATAGATTCCCCAATTTTAACCTCCGTAGCTTACTCTGAGTTCTTGTATCCACTGCCTCATAACTGTCTAGTGAAAGTTGCTGAATTTCATTGTAGGAATTGTACAATGTAACAGTAGAAATGTACAGGTTATTTCCAAACTTCCATTCCCCTGATGAGATGCAGCTATCTGCAGGTACTTCCTGCATCCTTAAAATAACAAAAGATTAGGTGTCTGTAGAAGGTATTTCCAGTATCAGGGCAATGGACTCTGTTTGTCCTGTGAGACGTTCAGGTGAAGTTTCCTTGTAGGACCTTAGACTTTCAGTTCTTGTTATTATTCAAGAGGACTTAAGTCTGCTAGAGATCACTCAAAATGCAGAAAGACAAAAGGCTGATTTCTGGGCTGTATCTTAGCACAGTGTATAACAGCAGCAGTCCTTCATGTTGCTGGTGCTATATAGGAAGTCTTTGCAAACTGGGAAAATAGGCTAAAGACTTCTGCCAGTACGGCTGGATCAAAGTTTCCATGCATTAAAATAAAAGGTGATAGTGGCTCAACAGATTATGGTATTTTCTGCAGAGGTAGAAATGTGGAAAAAAAAATAAAGAAACCATTTGCGAAAGACATTACTGAAGAGATGAGACTGAAACCACCCATTGTTGCTAACTTTGCTTACTTCTGTGTGTCTGTGGAGTCTATGCATACACTGCTTTGTCACATGTGACAACAACCAAACTGTAGTATCCGGGAAAGTATGAAACATAACTAAAATTCATGTATAGTGAATTTCTGCCTCTGGAGAAGGAGAGTCGCAATTTAAGTAATTTAAACAGTAATTTAGGAACCTGGCTTTTAGAATTCACATGAGCACATTTTTATCAACATAGGTAAGGAGGTCTTTCACCAGAACCAAGTTGAGGCTTTAAAAGCAGAAGGGGACTAGTTAACAAGATTGTAATGAGGGCCACAACTAGGAATGCATGCCATCATACAAGTATTGCTATGGGGTATTAGGCCTCGTGTATGCATTTAATAAACAAATTAAGGTTACACTTAAGAAAACGCACTGCCTCAAGAAGATTTCTGTTTGTGAGGGTGCAACTGAATGTAGGAATGTTAGTCTAAGCATAAGTCCTACGCAGTGAAGATGCTAAGGAGTCAACGTATAAGGCATGTAAAAGTAGTCAGTGTAGGTATATGCCAGAAGAACAATGGACTTGACATCTCATGAGAAGGGTTAACAAAACCTCTCCTAAATCTTAGACATGCATAATGGTGATATTTCTTGTGACTTCCCAGATGTCAAAATGACTGGCAACATCTTGTCATTTACTTACTTTACCACAGAATTACTTCTGAAGTGGCTCTCACTGGATTTATCAAAGAGAATCTACTTCTGTGCAGCTCCAAGTGTAGCTAGATTCCTGTCTTTAAAATGTATTTTGTGTGATTTAGGGGAAGGATAGGACTGAGTTCTGCTGATGCTACGCTTTCTTGCAAACCCTTCCATGTATTTGTACGAGTGGAGACTCCGTGATTTTCTAGGTTTACACTACATACAGCTGGTGCATAAAATTGTATGTTTCACTTCTTTCATCCTATATCAAATCTGTTTCTAATCTAATCTTACAGGTGTATCAGTAGACACTAAAACCTAAAGAGCTGATAAACATAGTTGCCTTTTGGTACCCCAAAGGAGCAGGAGATCCATTCAATCTTTGGCAAAGGGGAAAGACTAAGTCTTTGCATTAATGTGTGAAAAAGATTTGTGATTTGAAATTTTACTGATGGTAGAAGTTCATAGAACCCTATGTCTCCCTCCTAGGTCTTGGAGGCCTTTTCTTGTCATCACCTATCTCAATTGGCTAAGAGTATACTGACCATCTGTGAATAAAATCCTCTATGCTCTACTTTAGCTGCAATAGGAGATATAGCTTAAAATGATGTTCTTTGCTAATTTGTGCATTTCTCAGAAACATGGTGAATATATGAAGCTGGTGAGATTCTCAAGGCTGCTTAGGGAATGGAAATGGCTGCTGTGTGATTGCTGAAGGAGAGGAAATGTGACTTGAGGGCCAAAAAGTTCTTGGAACATCACTGGAAATGCTGATATAATTCATCTAAATATTTAAAAATAACCACTTCCTCTTCTGGGGAGGAGGAGATCTGGCTTCCTGTGCTTGTTGTGATTTCCGTTTTCTTTTTTTCTTTTTTTTTCCTTTTTTTTTCTGGTGATTGCTTGAAGGTCTGATCACATTAAATAGGAAGCTTGGCTCTTACAGCACTGGTCCCACCAAACCTTTTTCTCTTCCAAGGCAAAATTTGGCCTTCATGCTCATGTGGACCCATGCTACTACCTTTGAAGATCAGCACTGCTAGTACAAGGAGGCAACTCCACTCTTCATGAACAAGGGCAGCACACCTCCTGTACCAGCCAAATGGTAGTTCAAGGGTGGATGGTGAGTATTAATATAGTCTCTGACGAAAAGTGTTTATTAGGATCTGAGCTTATGTCAAGGACTCCAATATTTACTTGCTCTCCTCCCCACGTCTTCTTCAAAAAAGGAGGCTGGCCCTTCAGATTTAGATGAGTCTTTCATCTCTGATTGCACCTCCTTTTAACGGACCATTGAAAAATACCTCACTGATCTTTCTCTTGTATATGGTGTGTTCTTCACATCTGTGTAATACAGTTTCAGAGTTAATATCCTCTTCTGTGTTAGCTAAAAACAGACAAAAATTGAAATAGAAAGGTTTTATGATGTCACTTAGTCTGTCCTTCTGCTCCAAGGCATGATTCATGGGCACCTACACTATACCTAACAGGCAGTTCATTAACGTGCTCCTCAGAACCTCCAGTGTGCTGCGGAACTTCAGAGAGAGGTGGCAAAATACAGCATGCAGGAGAGCTGCGCAGCAGAGGTAGGATCCTATGGCAAATACAGGGAAACTGAAAGAATGAGAAAACGTATAGCAGAGAGCTAGGTCTTCGAGGTGGGACAAAAAACAATTTTAGAGGGCCATAGGGAAGTGAGCACTGTTCTAACTCAGGGCAGGACGTGGTGTTCCTCCCTGCAAGGATGAGTGGGCAGGGAGGAACATGTATTTAAAATTTCTGTTCGGTCCGACCTAGTGACTCTAAGCTTATCTAAAAGCTTAAGTACTCTCGTGTCTATTTTACGTTCAAGAGCTGTTGACGGTTTGTTGACTCCCCTCAGAACTCGGAACCCGTTTCTTCCTGTCCTGTGTGTAGGCTAGTCTTGGTCCCCAGCATTTTTTCATTAGCATGCCACTGTCATCATGTGGTTAATTGCACCTGTTTATCTTCTCCAGAAGGTGTGCCATAGCTGGTTATCCCCACGCCATATCTGAGTAATTGACTCGCAGATTTTGCACTCAGCCATCCTATGTTGCAGTTTGGACCACTTCTCCAGTTTTTCAAGGTATTTTGCAATCTGTTCCTCCTCCCAAAATGTTTCAGTTCTCCAGTTTAATACTGTCTGAAATTAAGTCAGTACAGCTTTCATTTGGTCACTGCATCATGAATGAAAGTGCTTGAATAGTGCTGAATGAACTGTCAGTATTCCTTTACTGGGATTTATTACACTATATACTTTTTATTACACTGGTTTATATTTTACTAGTTTTACACTAGTAAACTAGTGTATATTACACTAGTTCCTCCATAAGCAGCAGTCCTGAGTCCAGCTTTCCAATGAGTTGTGCAACCTTCTGCTGGTGAATTCCTCTCTTGCTTATAATAATTTCACATGATAGCATGTCAAAATTCTGACTGAAGTCAAGATGACATGACAGTTAATACTTCCCTTCTATCATTTAAACTTGTTATCCTGTCACAAAAGAAAGGTAAGTTTGACATAATTTGTCCATAACAAAAATGTATTGGCTTGTTTCTTATCACCTTACTGTTTGCTTTGAACATTTCTTCTGGTATTTTTTTCAAGAACAGGACATTTATCTGTCTGGACTGTAGTTCTACCACCATTTTGAAGATAGGCACTCTGTGCCTGTTTTCCTACCAACTTTCACCCAGGCACATCTGTCAGAGTTTCTCCAAGGGAAGGACGTAAGAGGCCGATACTCAGTCAAACCAAAGATCTGTTAGCCCAGGATTTAATCTACGTACTGTCCGCTGGCCAAAATCAAATGGAGAGAGCGTGGGAACAGAGCGAGCATATAGCGATACTTCCGCAGCAATACTCTCGTATCCCACAGAGATCTCTCAGACAGCTCTCCGCTTTGAGACGGCAAGGAGCTGCAGGCTGTCACGCTGATTCACATCAGATCTTGAAAGGCAGGGGGGCACACACCTGGCAGGGGACACACACCTGGTTGGTCCTTTTTGTTTGATAGTTGTTCTCAACACTTTTTGTGGTAATGAGAATTTACTTGTTAAAATGTTTTGGTGATATAAGCTGTTCTCTGTCATAACAAAGTTAAACTCATCCAGTTTTACCACAGAAGATCCTAAGTGATCTTCATCTGTAGTATCTTGATAAGCCAAGTGTTATATGTTATTTTGAAAATATTCATGTGTCTAAAAATTGTAATAGTGCCTCGTTTTGTGTCTGGTGGCAAATGCAGTATGTCTCTTGTAAAATACTTCTTGAGGTTTGGAAAGTTTGAAAACTAGTTCAACTAAATAGTTGGAAAACTGTTTCATTATATGAAAGCTCAGTTGGGCCCCATATGAATGAATATTTAGCTCATAAACGGTGACCTAGGTATCTGTGTTCCACTTCCAAACGCTTTTAATGTAACTATGTGGAGATTTGGGGCCTAGAATTTTTGATATAGTGTAAACTGGCTGGTCTAATCCCATAGGTTGTTGCAGGTAAATGCTTATGTTTAGTTTACTCTTATATCATCAATTACTTGTTCACGCTTCAGATCTTAACATTTTTTTGCTATTAGTTTGTAGATCATACATCTAGAAAAAATTTAAATAGAGCCAAAATAAAAAGTGTTCCCTAATGACGAAAGGTATTCTTCATTTATAAACCTATCTGCAATAGAGGATCAGAAAAAATAGTAGGGTATAATAATTTATTTACATATTTACCTGAGTATATGCTGGATGCTGTTAAGTGATAATTAGTGCCACTTCAGTAGATTTTTGTCTGAATTAAGCTTTTATGAAATTTCAGCACAACTGTGTTCTTACAGAAGTTAAGCTTTAATCTAAGGCTTGTAGCTTAATAATGACTCTTAACTTACTTTTGAAATCATGATTTAGGTGTTTACATTGGAAAATATCTCATGAAAATATTTGAAAAGAATTGAAACAAATGTTAATTTACTTTGCTGCATTCTTTTATTAATGACATATTTTCGCAGAGAAGCGCTCCTTTTCAGAGTTATGATAATTTTGATCCGTATGTCAGATAAGGAAATATCAGCTAGTATAAGTTGCTGTAATATGCTCCTTTGCTACCAGCACTAAGGATTTTGAAATTTTCACTTCTAGAAAAATTGCATTTTAACCCGAAGAAAAGTATTATATGGCCGCCTTCTGTGTTGTTATAAGGTGTTGTTATAATAACTGAACAATAGGATGCTAATTGACATATATGGAATAGGTATTTATAGCAAAGAATCAGTTTTCTAAGGTAATTTTTCACTTGGAAAAAGTTTGCTTTTGAGGTACTGTCACATAGAAAGTTGAAGGCACTTTTACAGTGTGAATGTCGAGATAGGAGAGGTAGACCCTATGGCTGAAAGCAATAACCTGGACTTCTTGAGGTGAATTTCTGGAAGATCTTCACATCCAGCAATTAGGAGGGCAGGAAAAAGCACTGACTCTAAAGGGTAGGTGATTCCCCATGGTGAATTAGCAAGGGGAGTCAGCAGATATGCAGATTGTGTCTTTAAAGCTTTGAAAAGATTGGCATGCCAGATTGGTTTTTTAGAACCTTTGTCTCTTTTCACTGTGGAACAGCGTGAAATCTTAGGCCATTCCGGCAAAATATATGAGCATTATAATAAACTAGAGGAGAAGTCAAAAGGATGTGTTGCAAGGAAATGGAAACAGATTGTTTCAAAGTTCTAAAAATGGTAAATGTTGAGGGAAGCTCATGATTTAATATTTCAGGATAATTCATTAAAGCTCAAAAGTTTTTAGGCAAACCAAGCTCCATTGAGCTCCAGCTCAATAAAAGTATCTTCTCTGAGATAGGTGGCCCAGTGAACTGACGAACAGGATTTTCATGTGGGATATTGGTTAGGGTTTTTACTAATTTAGATCGTCAACTGTTTATTTTTCTCATCCTGTTTTTCTCACCCACCTCGAAGGATAAAGGAGCTGGAGAAGCTCCAGTTTCTCTAACCTCTTGACCAAAAAATGAATTAATAGTTGCTAGGAAAGATCTGCATCATAAATTAAGTTATTTTGCTATTTGTGAACAAATCTTGACTTTTTAAAGGTTACTTTCTTTTATGTATTTGGAATTGGTACTGCAAATTCAAGTATTAGTTTCGTTGCACATGGAATAGGAATGTACTGTATAAAAGCCAAAAATTATTATTTACTATGTACTGTTCCTAGTGAATAGTATATGCAACTATGTGATGACGTGTCTGCTCTTTGTATGATATGACCTTTATAAGCTTCCTCCTCTTGACTGAATAAATCTTAAAATGCACTTTCCCCTTGCGGGTCTGTAAATGAAACCGTTGTTGAATGAAGAATATTAATGAATACTAAAGCCAAAAGGTGCATATTTGAAGAATTGACTTATTATCTCAGCTTAAATCCAGGCACTGTTGATTTTCTTCTGCAGTCAAAGGCCATCTATTCAACGGGATTTAATTTTTTGATTTATTTTTCAAGTCTTCCTTGAAATGTAGGTGATGGAATGTGGTCCAAGAAGTAAAGCAAACAATAAGGAAAGAACAATATTGAAAAGTGTTGTGTGAACTATTCATTTTGATCACTGATTTTTCAAGCCAGTCAGCAGAGTGATGAAAATGTAAATGTTTGCTATTGCACTGGTGGCTCGGACAGTACTAGCTTTTGCGTCTGTCAGTTGACACGTACTAAGGAAAAATTGCTGGCGGGGGAACATAAACACACTCCCTTGTCTGTCACTCCTAGGCCCTTCCCTTTTGCGCTTAAAAACCTGGGACTCTACACACCCAAGAGGGATGGAAAAAGAAGTTGCAGAAGACAGCTGTCACCTATTCACCTATTGGATGTGTTCAATTTCTTTACACATTAATCTTCCTTGCTGAAACAACGGTAGTGGGATGTACTGAAAGGTAGAACTGCTCTGTGGGCCTGTGAATATGTGTTAAAACGCTAACACCCCAGCTAGCTGTAAATTTGTTGAGAAAGTGGCTTGTTTGACAAAAATCTAGCTGAACCAAATTATAGTAACTGCTGGAGCTAAGAACAGTGCATGCACATATTTTCTGGACTGTATCGAAACCAAGCTCTTACAGACAATTAAAGTGACCTGTGGCAGAAAGGAAGCAGGACTGACTGCTTCAGATAAAATCTTACCTTGTTATTATCAATAGCAAGATTAAGCTGCTACTTTGCTCTGAAGTAAAGATGAGAAATATTTGTTGTATATTTTGTTGAAACAAGCAGCATTTTTTCCCACTGGTTTTGAGGAGCATCCAGACTCTGTGACAAAATATACTTGTTTGAATTGCTGGCTCTGCTTTGGCTGCCAATTTTAGGAAGATTTCTTTAAGGAATGTGGTTTCGTGTGTTTCCGTCAGTAACCAAAAAGTGGTTTACCTGAGTCTGAACTTGTTGTACCAGCTTAGATGTTAACCCATGCTTCTCTAGATAGAGAGATTCAGAAAACTAAGGCAAAGCAATTAGGGTGATATACGTAAATAAGAAGTTTTAACACCTATGTGATTTCATCATTTGTGAATGAAACGAGCTTAGCTCATGTTTCTTCAATAGCAATCTAAAAGTATACCTTTCTCTTCCAGGGGATTACAGGTAAGAAATGCATATGCCAGCCAAAGGTTTTCACCTCTTGGTACAACGTCATCTTGGGAACGGCTGAAATAATATGATACTTATCCTGCAAGATGCAGGCTCTTTCAGAGTTCAATATTATCAATTTTAGTGATGTTTTAACAATTTTGTTCTGTCCACATAACAGAGATATGGCCAGGTTAAAATCCTGGCTCCACTGAATACTGTGAAGCAAGGATTTCTCTGGAAGATTTTCAGTTAAAGGATGGGAATGCTCAATCTTGGCAAAGGAATAGTTGCTATAAAATTTTCTTTGGGTCACGATGGTTACCGTGAAGAAAAGAATCTTGCATATGAAGCAATTTCAATTTAGTCAAGAGAGATTAGATGAACCTTGTTTTTTTTTAAATCAGCTTCTCATCCAAATTGCTATTGGCTAGATTTATTTCTCTTGCTGTCTTCTCCCAATGTTTTTGTTTTTCTTGAAGTTTTTCACTACATTTATTTTGCTTTGATGTGAAGATATGATTTGGTAATTTGTTCAGTATGCTTCAGTTTGTTTTGGCAGACCTATTAAGGATGAAACATTCATTTATGTAGAAATGTTTATTTGTGGAGGCAGAGGAAGTTTTGGAATTTTTTATGTATTTAATAGTTCGCCTATTGTTTATGATACAGTTTTCTATTCCAGCTTAGAATTCTGCATCTTTAGATCTCTAACCACTCTAAATTCTTTTTCTGGATGAAATTGTAACCTCTTTGTAAAGAGGTTTTTAATCTGTAAAAGTCCTCGTAAGCTGGAATTCTTTGCAAGGTCTTCTAAGCAAATCAGTCCACTGCAACCAGAGAGGAGTGCTTTTTAATATTTTTTGTGTTTTCTTTGTAATCATACCTCTATTCTTTTATTACATTTTGTCACCTAGAGTTTGTTAGTTAGGTAAAATCTTTCTTTGTAAATTCTGGTCTTAAGTTTTAATCAGCATTTCACTTTTTCCCTCTCAGGCTTCCCATGAAATCCCGCAATTTTGGCAAATGTTACCTTTCACAATTTTGGTGGTTATATGACATACTTTATGTTCCTTTTAGGCCCATATGTTTGTCCATTTGCTGTCTCGGGCAAAACAACATTAACTTATTTGAATATTCTAAGCCCTTTGGGATGATATTTGTCTATCTTTTTTGTAAAACAGCTCTGTTTACTCAGTCCTTTATGTTGACAGATTTAACAGATGATAAACCCTTCTTGCTAAGAACATGTCATAAAATACATATGAAAATAAAAACGTTACAGAAACCAACTAGAGGCAAAGATCTGGTACAAGTCCGCTTAATTACTGGCGTATTAACTGACTAATATTGCATTTTGGAAGCCTCTGTAAAATCAAAATGGTGCTCTGTAGAGCTTCTATTCCTGACCAAAAGTAGCAACATCAGCTATTAACCATCAGACTCAGGACAGTGGGGACTTGTTACTTGTTACTTGCCTAAACCTAAGCCCGCAAATGTAGTTTTTGAGGTGGCCCATTCAGGTAAGACTGTCTCAAACCAGTGAGAATACCAGGTTCCTTACAGTCGTTGTGATCAAGTCTGAACTCTTCTGCAGCAAGATATCTTGAATCACCAACAGACTCTGTTGCAATTACATTCGTTTTTCCCTTCTTGCATTGTTTATTATGGCTTTTGCATGTCTTCTGCTCACTCAAAACTCGCAACCTTCCTGCCCTGTCCTTGATGTTTCATTTCTCTACTTCAAGCCCTGAAAGGGTGACAAACTGCCATGCAAAGGTTAATTTCCAAGATCTGAACGAGTGCTGCTCCATCTATTACTTAGTAGTGGTCCATGGAAAAGTAGCCAGCCCAAATCTTCCTATTGAAAGCTGAACATGTCATCTTTTTCTGAGTAATAATTTCATTTATGCATAAAATCACATTAGCCTGATTTAGCAGAACCTTTATTGTCCAACTGTGTGGAATGTTTGTGTAGTGATGAATCCCAAGGGTGGCTTGTTTTTGCTGAATGATTAGGTGCAGGGCACAGGCTGCATGCAATCGTGCAACTTTGGTCACTGCCTTTTCAAACCATGCTACTTTGGTGAAGTTTATGCAGAAATTTTAGAATGGCAAAATTACTCAAAGCACATGTTTTTTATAGCTAATCTGTGGTAATTATCACTTAAGTTGCTGGAAGAGGAGGGTGAGAGGGCAAAGGGCTTAATTACATGTGTTTGGTTAGAGCGCTGTATCATCATCAGATAAAGTGCTGTATAATTTGTTTATAGAGTTTTACCTTGTAATATCTCTAGCAATGCGGTATTCCTAACTAGTTTTCTATATATGTTTGCAAATTTCATTGTTAATAACAATCCTAATATGGTATTCATTAGCCTGTTAATTACATTGTCATTTAGAAACCATTGCTTCCAATTAGCTTTAATGACAACATCAGAGTCGTTTTTCTGCGCTGCCATTTTTGTGCAACACTTTCCCATTTAAACTGCCTGCTGTTCTATCTTAATTAAATTTAATAACAGCAATGGTAGTTTATAGGGGACTTTTTAACCTCATTTAATGTCAGACCATTTATACTGGTTTGAAGCAGGCACTGAAAATGTTTGCATTAATCCAATTACTTTTGAAAAGGAGCAGACTTCACTTGTTTCAGATGGCTTTAATAAAGAACAAATCCCTATGAAAGGTCAAACTTCCTATCTGTGCAAATATGTAGAAACATTAGGGTTTTTTTCTAAGTACACTGAAGACAGTGAAAAATCAACAGCACAAAAAAGGACCCCATAACTATTTTCTGTGGCAGGAGATAAGGGGAAAAAATAGTTAACATCATTAGGGACTCAGTGCTACCATGTAGACCAAACTTCAAGTAGGAAACAGTTGCAGAATTTTTTAACCTTGGAAAGCTCCACAAGTGCCTATAGCTCAGATACGTTTTTGTGAAGAGAGGCTGATGAAGAAGAAAGCGGCCAGTGACCTGATGAAGAAGGTAGTTGCCAGCGTGGCATGCTGAACTTGCAGGATCCAGTGAAATAGGAGAGAGGGAGGGAGGGATGTGGTTTCACAGAGGTGAAAGGGGAAATCCTGCTGTAACTACAGGATGAGCTGCAGGCAGAAATGTGGGCTGTGCTAGAAATAATCTGTGACTGAGAAGCAAAAGCAGGAGCTGAAGGAGCAAAATCCTTGCCAGCTTCACAGGGCCGTTGTCCCAGACTCCAAAGCGGTAAAGAAACAGAGGTAGAGAATTGTCTCCAGGTTTTCCTTCCCTGCCGCAGACACAAAGAACATCTCAAAGAACGTTTTTGGGGTAGGGAAGAGGAAGATAAGGTGTTGCTTCCAAGAGCACAGCTTTAGGTCTTGCTTTCCTCTATTGCATACCAGCCTAGTGTTTAAGAAACTAATCTCCCCTGGATCTAGTCAACAGTTTTGAGGATATTGAGGACCTCATTGGTTCTTCTTCGTACCAGTTATAAATAATGCCTGGGTAGTATATGCTATGGTGTTTCTTGAAGGTAATTTAAAGTAAGTACAGTGGCCTACACACAAAAATAAGTACTTATTTCCCTTTGACCTGAGTGCTTAATATTTATGACTCCTATGATTGCTTCTGGGTTGAAAATTGATGACAAAAAGGTAGACCTTATGTGGATATACTTTGGTTAGATAAGCCAATATACATCAAAATCCTATTTCTCTGAACATACACAGGAACTTTTCTTGCTATCCTGATAAGCCATGCCACAAACCCAGTGTCTTAGAAGTATTGCCCCTTCTCTGTCTTCTCAGCCTCACACATTTAATTAATTTCCTACTTTGCTGAAAACCAATAGTTTATCCTTGTATTTGCAGCTTGTGTATCTTAGCTGTGACAGGTTAAGTACCTTGCAGCTCTGTTCCATTGTTTACAGCTGCTTCTGTTACTGAAAGGATCTTGCTGAATAGAAAAAGTGTTTTGTACCTACTCTGTTTTCAGCTAGATCTGTGTTTCTTCTTGAGAGTAGGAAGAATTCCTATTAATAGGAGAAGCAACCCAGCTGAGGTAACAAGAATTTTCCCCCTGCAGATCTGAATGCAGGTTTTATCCTTTCTCTTTAGCAGACATTCTCCCATCTGATTTTTTGTAAGTAACTTGCTGAAAGCCACAGAAAAATTAATTTTTTTTTCCTACAAAATTGAAATTATAGGGTGATTTTGCCTATGTAAGTACAGTATTTTGCATTGCGTTACAGATGGCCTCTGGAGAAGCTTCCTTATCCTGAAGTAGCACACAGCAGAAGAGCCATGGAGCATGGTTCTTTCTAGCCCGAGCTGCAGCATGAGGCACAGAAGGGGCAGGACACAGGAAAGGAGATGCTGTTACAGTACCAGGGTATTCAGGAGTGGCAGAATGGAAAGAAGAGACCATCTTGTACTATCCAACAGGATATTTTGTGAGTATGCTTCCCTCTAGTAGTTTTAATAAGTATCTCAGTGCACACTGTCCCGTCTGTTTGACACCAGCTCTTCTTATAATACTGGTAAACACTGATCGTATTATTAGATTATAATATTTTTAAAGCAGGAGCCACATCTTTGTTATTTGTTCAGTACCCATAGATACATTGGGATCATTTGGGTGACTGCCACAATAAAATAAATACAGAAATATAAAGCAGGTAAGTGATACAAATATGCATGTTTAGGCAGTGTTATAGCTATTAAGGTAACAGAGATAACTTAAGATATATGACCTGAAGGTAGAATGGAATGGGTACATAATGGGAATAGTATCTTACAAGTCTGATACCCTGTAGTCCTAGCATGAAATCATTATGGTTTCCTTTTTATCTGCATGCAGATAGGCAAAGAGAAAAGGGCTGAAAGAGAGAGATATCCTATGCACTAGGTTACCAGCTGTTATACGAAGGGAACCGTCTATCGGCTTTTGACGGCAAGGCAGATAAAGCTCAGGAATATGGCTGTGTGGTGCAAATGCAGATCCCTGAGCTAAATAAGTTAGCTCATGTACCAGACACAATTAGGCTGGAGCTCTGTCTGGGCTCATTTTTTCTGGCTGGGAAACTAGTACAGCTATATCACTTCTGTTAGCTTGTGAAGGCCAGCTGAAGTATCATTGTTCCATGCTATTTTCTGCAGGAAGTTGTCCTCCTCAATCCTGTCTATTATAAACCAAGTTGTGCGTTCATCAGTGCCCTTTTCCCTCTGCAGTGACTGTGGAGGGATCTGAGATGATGAAAATTAGGAGCCAGAACTATGTCTAACCCAGTTGTCTAGGACTAACATTGTGAATATTCTTTGTGTGCTTGCCTATGTAAGCTGCAGCAGACAGGCTTGCAATATCAAAAACCAGATGCATCACTCCTCTCCGCTTCCAGCCCTATCCTTAAACAGGCCTTCCTGTGGTGTTATTTTTCCCACTACTTGCTGTATATTTTCTTAGTTCTATATCTGTTTCCATTTCAGCAGATTTTCTTCCCAGACTCTGTTTACTAACTTTTGATCTAACATTTATTTAAAATATTAATTATAATCCTAGGTTTTCTTCACAGAGATGCTCATCCTACTCCAGTGCCTCTTCCTGGTAGATCTTACAGTTTTAAAGCATCAATTTTTTATTTTTATTTTTAAACTTCTGGTGTTGTAGTGAAGAAAATGGGTCTCTGCAGTAGACCATGTAAGTAATGAACAACATAGCAAAAGAATCTCCATATCAGCTCAGAGGGATACATTAAAAAGGGCATGGTATTTGTGTCTAGTCCCCATTTGCCACATGAACTAGGATGCATATATTGCCAAAGAACGGAGGTAATGTAAGACATGAAAGAGGGTTAACTCCAGCATGCCCTCGCAAAGGCTCATCAATGAGAGCCTTGTGTCTGCAGCCAGTTCCCTGCTCCTTGTAGGTGACTTGCTGCTGAAGGTATCTTGCAAAGTTGAGTGCCCTTGAGAGGCAGACAAGACTGCAGAAGGCTTTCTCAGGATCAGGAGACAAGAATGTGCTTGTAGGCACGTTGAAATTCGGAGAGGATGTGAAAGTTAAAACGAAGGTAGCTAGGAGTTAGGATGAGATTAAAAGAATAGTAAAAATAATCCTCAGTGGAGCTCTAAAGCAAATAGAAAGAAGGGCATTTCAGGACGTGAAGGAAGAAAAGTGAATTGGGATTGATCGAGTAGAGGGCAGGGAAGAAATAAATTCCTGCTAGATGATATCAGTTTGATATATACTTATCTATTAAGTTTGTCTGAATTCAATAGCAAGAAATAGAATAGTTTGAACCATCCTAATTTTACAAACATTTTATTGCCAGGAACTTCAAAAATAAAATGCGAAGATGGATCACTTGGATGTCTGGTGACATTAACTCTGTTTCCTGTACGCCATAAGATCTCTCTTTTTTTTTTTTTGTCCAGTTTAGGAATCGTCAGTATTTGTTATCCGTTTTTTGGAATACCTTTTCAGAGACTTGGTTTTGCTTTTGTTATGGAAAAGAAAAGGGAAAGTGCACGAAACATCTCGTGACAGTGAACAGAGTTTAAAAAGTTGCAAATGACACATATGAGTTAACATAATGTCCCTTAGAAACAGCAGTTTGTAGTAAAAGTTAGAACATCATATAGTTGTTGTTCAATCTACAGAGTACTGATGCATAAACCAATTACAGTCAGAGGATGCAAGTAGACAGAAGATTGGACAGGAAATCCTTTCTGGACAAATTGTCTTTATTTGTGAAATATTTTGTACTCATGCTTCCTTACCTATTCCTTAATGTAGAGTGTCCCTAGAAGGAGTATTATTTAACTGATTATTTAACTGGGTACTTAGAGTGTAATTTGGAAGCACTGTAGATGATATCTTGTCTTTCAGACAGACTCATTAGGGGAATTGATGCTTTGAAAAACAGATATTTCAAGGTGTTAAGTACCCTAAATTTCAAGTAATGGTGTGATAGCCAAGGACAGTGAGGACCACATGATGCAGCATCTGATTTTCCTCTCTAATAATGCAGTGCCCTTTAGAGGTGTTCTAGCTAGCTTAATTTCAGTGCAGATACATTAGGGTGGCTCGCCATCTGGGCTAGCTTACCCATGTTACTCTCTTTTTTTTTTTTTTTTTTTCCTCCCCTTCTGGCAGCCCAACATTTAGAACTGGTTTGGGTACACGGCACAGTACATTAAGCGTGATTAATACATCCTTAATGCCCAGTGGAACCTATATGCTTGACTGAAATGCTTATCCTCCCTCCACAATTCATGTGGAGTTAGGCCTCTGAAAGCAGGATTCTCTATATCTCTGTCTGTCTGACTGGAGAGCTTCTTTGGTTACCAGCAGGAAACACTGAGGACTTGGAGATAGTTTAAATCTGTTCCAGGATTTAGAAGTGAACATAACAGAGAAATTTTCTCTGCTCCTTAGGACAGCTTCTAAGTATAAATAGCAGAAACATGGGTCAGAAAACTTTCTATGCAAAATTTTTCAAAACAGGGTTTTTACTAGATGCTGAAAGACCTTTATAACAGGCAAGTGGATCATACACATTTCACATGCTAAATGCAATTAACTGGGAAACTTAATGGGTGACATAGATCAAGAAACTGTGTAAAAGCATCCGGTTGTCTTGTAATTAATACATCATTTCTTCTAAGCATTTCCTATGTTGGGAGCATTTGGCAAAGTTGTACTCAAGAAGTTCTAGTGCTAATGTGGGGGGAATGAGCGTGCCGAACAATTTATATTGGCATTCTGTGCTGGTATCTAATATTATTCATCTTTCCACTAATGACTTGTCTGTGGTTCTTTAAGTATGAACAAGTCTGTGCATGTTTGTAACACCTCTGAATATGACAGGGGTTTTTTGTATGTATGTCGTTCCCTTTTATGTATCTCTTGGGCATGAATATATTGAGTTCCCTACTAGGGATTTTAATCTTCTGGCCTTGCTTTGGCCATTTGGATTCCTTTGCCCAGCACCTCTCTCTGCTCAAATCCACAGCCTGCAATCCTCCAGAATTTGGTCAACTATATCCTTTTTTTTTTCTTTTTTTTTTTTCTTTCAAAGAATAGCACAGGAGTCACCCTTTGCTTTAAAAACTGTGTTGCCGACATCCTTGTTGAAACAGTAGCTCCAGGTTTAGAGTACAGCGTGAGGGTGCAGGGGCGCTGGGTTGAATTCCTAGATCTCTGACCTACTGTGCCTTGTGCCCTGGATGTGGACTGCTTTGAAATCGGGGTAACACTCTTCCTTGTGAGGCTGCTTCGATTGCATTCTTTCTGAATGGTGATATGTATAACCAGAGGTGGGCATATCCTAACTGAATATTTTAAATGGTAAACCGGATAGTGGATCCGTCAGAAATACAATGTTGTTCATAACTATGGCTTGAAGAAAGAAATGAAATTTGCCTGAAGCACAACATACTCCCAGTTCTGTACTGGCTACAGCCTTTGGCACAGACAAAAGAAAGCAAACATTTAAATATCCCATCTGCTACTGGCTAGAGGAAGAACAGCAAAGAAAACCTGAGCTTCTCGGAGGCTTTGGTTTTAACTGAGATGTGCAATCTCAAAAGAAAGAGGTTAACGCTGTGTCAAGAGCCAGAGGCGTGGGTGTGTGAATGTGCTGCGAGGACATCTACCGGATGGAGACTTTCCATGTTGTTTCTAAAATCCATCTGGACCCACTGAGCTTGGAAAAGCATCATGGTATATGCCCAGAAATCTAATTGTAGATGCCTGGAGAACTGTAAGGTCAAGCCCAGTCAAGAAAAGAGACCTGTAAAGTTTAATGATAATGTTTGTTAGCAGCAACATATGTGAAGGAGGAAAGAAATGGAGAATGTGTTAATTATAGCTTTGGGCACAGCCACCTACATTGCAACCTCTTTTTATGTTCATAGTAGTCGTCTTAGATCTGGCTCCAGTAGTACAATAGCAGTGTTAAGTAAAATTGCTTAGGACAGTATCACACTGGCAATGAAGCTCAAGGAAAGATGCTAACAATTCGTAGTTTAGAGGACAAACATAAAGACAAGGGTAGAGATACAGCAAAAAATGCTGAGGTCATAGGTCCTTTTAAAAGTTTGACCGTACTTTTCTTTGGGTTAATGGGAGTTTCTCTCTCAACTTCATGGAAGTGAAATTTGTTCCTCCATGTACCCAAAGCACTGCATTAATCCAAGTTTTTACTTTTATAGTATCCCCGAAAGACTGAATCTGAGGGAAATGTAACAGTTGCAACTTCTTTAAAAAACAGAAGGTAACTTGATAATGGATTCGGTGATGGACATGACCTGTCCATCTCTGACAGTCTGCTTCCATTGACTTGCTGAGTTTTTTAAATTTGGATTTGTTTTTTTATCTTCTATGTTTAGAGTTCCTTCAATTAGAAAGCGATTTGTTGGAGATTCACATTGGCTCATTTAGACTTTTTGA